ATTCCGGATTGTCAGGGCGTAACAGTTACGTGGAATCGCATCGTTGAAGTTTCAGGAACGGTTTTTTGGCACGATTCAATATCGCCACGACGTAACAGTCAGGTTAACTCGTGGCTTGGAAGTTCTGAGAATGGTGTTTGGGCACGCTTGAAACTGTACACACGGTTGTCCCCCAAGGGGGCAATTCCCTCAGTGGAAATGGCCCCTTTGTGGGGGCCTATGGCGAGGGGCCTTGGAGGGACTATGAATTTCAACAATTTTGATGCGTCTTGGCTTTACCCTGGTCCTCTTCCTCCTCCTCCTCCTCCTCCTCCTCCTCCTGCTCCTCCTCGTCTCTGTTCTCTCTCTCTCTCTCTCTTTCTCTCTCTCTCTCTCTCTCTTTATATCTCTCTCTCTCTCTTTCCCCCTGTCTCTTTGCGAAACCACTCTGGTTCAGCTCAAGAGATTAAGTTCACGGGTGAATGAGTGGAGACCACTGATCCGAGGCTCGCTTTAGTGTCTCCTCCACCGGTGCGCAGAGCCGTCGCGGGACGGCGCCCTGTGGACGCATCGGCGGCGGGGCGCGGGTCGGGCTTCTGGCCGCTGGCAAGAACGAGCGCGCGACCAATGCGGCTGCGGCAACCGCTGGCGTCGCTCGTCTTGCATCTGCTGCTGCGCGGGGGCTGGCGCCGCGGTGGCGGCGGCGGGCGGCCACCGCTCTCCAACCGCGGGGGGCCGCGCAGCACCGAGGCTGCATGGTGGCCAGGTCCGCCGCTCTCCTGCCTGGGCGATTGGCTTGCGGCGTCGCCGCTGGCAGACCAGGGGGCGTCCGGGACTGGTCGCCCGCAGCGCGCCCCTGGCGGTGGCGGGAGCAAAGGCGGCGGGGCGGGGGCGGCGAGGGCGGCAAAGCCAACGCCGGCGCACTTCACACCGACGCGCGCCCTCCACCCTTCGCTCGCCGAGCATATCGCGCAGACGGCGCCGTCGGCCGCGCCACCTCCCGCGGCAAAGTCGGCTGGCGAGGAGTTGCGGGCAATCCTCGGTCAGGCGGCGGCGGCGCGCCGGACTTTCGAGCATCGCGAGCAGGACGACAAGAAACAGGTCGCGGCGGCTGCCGAAAAGGACCAATCGCGGCCCAAGATCTCGCGGAGCTGGAGCACCGCGAACTCGCCCTCGCTCGGCAGGTCCGCGAGGAGGCCGGCGCCTGCGGCAGCGCGTCGGAGGCCCGAGCCCCCTCCCGCCGCGCGAGGCCCCGCCCCTGTCACCGAATTGCGAGGGTGGAGAACAGCGAGCACGCGCTGGCCATGTCGAAGTTGCCCCCAGGTTTCGGCGAGCTCGAGGAGGACGACCAGCGCCGAATCTCTGCGGACATCTTGCGGCGGCACGAGAGGACCTCAGCGCCTACGCCACCAACCTCGCGCCGCTCAAGCAGCAAATCCCTGCGGGGGCCGCGGAGTGCCACGCCGCGCAGGATCGGGCTGCTACAAAGCGGCACGACGCGAGCGGGCAGCCTGCAGCACCGCCAGCCCCGGAAGCGCCTGGGCCTGCTGGCGGCGGTGGCCAGGGCGCCGGCGCGCGCTGACGCCATGCTGGAGCGCGCCCGCGCTGCCGCGCGTGCCAAAGCCAGCGCGCGGAATTCCCGGCGCGCCCGCCTGCCGCGCGGCCGCGGGTCGGCCCGCCGAGGCCGCTGGGGCGCCGCGTGCGATGGCTGCAACCACGTTGGCATGGGGCCCTGGCAAGGCTGGGGAGGCGCAGAGCGGGGGCCCCGGGACTAGCCGTCGCGGCGATGGATCGGCGGGGCGCGACGGCGGGGCGGGGCCTGCAACACACAAAAAAAAACTCCAAACGGCCTCGAGAGGAAAGAGATATGAGCATCAAACTGGGCTCGCCCCCCCCCCCTGACTCTGCGGGCCCCAGAATGACGCGCGAAGGCCAAGGCCTGCCGCCCGGTCCCTGGGCGACGAGCGAGCTGGAGGCGATGGGCATCGCGACGGTCGCCGGCTCGTGGGCGCGCGGTCGCGTCGCGGATGCTGGCCTGGCGCGTGCATCGCCATTGTTCCAGCGCTGCGACACGGGCGCGGTCGAGATCGGCTGGCGCCGCTGCTGGGGTCGCCCCGCCATCCAAGGGTTGGCCGCATGTGTGAAATCCAATCACCTGCGGGGCGACGCGGGGCATGGGGCGCGCGAGCAACCGTGCTTCTGGCTCCATCCCAAAGGCGGCCGACGCGGGAGACATCGCGCTGGCCGACGGCCGCGTCCGCACCCCTGCCGGCGCGGCGGTGCTAGCCTTCGGCGACGCCTCTGGAGGCGCGCGGCCAGCCGCCCCCGCGCTCCGTCTCGCGGGGCGGGGTTGCGCGTGGCTGCACTTTGACGCCGTTGCCAGCGACATCCGGCGACCTCGCGCCGGCGGACCCCGAGCGCGCGGCGGGCGTCGCCCTCGGGGTGCGAGGCGCGCCGGCGCCAGCAAGGCCGAGGCAGACGGTCAACCGCGGCGAACTGCGCACCTTCCTCGCCTTCCCAGAGAACAGCCGGGCTGCGGGGCTGGCCCACTTCGCCGCGGACAGCTCGCGCATGGAGCGGGGCTCGCGGCGTGCCCAGCGGCGGGGGGGCGCTCGCTAGCAGCGGAGCTCGTCGCGCCCTGCGATCCCAATCCACTGCGACCTTGCGGACGCTCGTGGGCGCTGAGCTCGCCGGGCCCGGGCGCGAAGCGCAGGCGTCGGCGGCCGGGGGCCGCCGCG